ACATTTCACACCACTTTTGGCTGGGACATCAGAGAGTGAAGACGTGTGATGGAGTTGTCCAGGTCGTTTTGGCATTGTCAACTATCTTGGGTACCCATTCTTGACTAGTACTTGACTATCTGTCCTATTTGTCTATCCTTTCCTTATTTCCTTTTTAGTATAAGTAGTCAGTAATTTAGTTTCTAGCTATAGTTTTTCTTTGTGTCACGGAATTTTGTCCGGTTAGTCCTTTGTCGCGAGATTTTGAACTAACGGTTCTTCCTTTTGTATCTGTTGCTTTGTTTGTACTTAAGTACTAACAAGGGGTGTCGGAATCTGTTAGAATCCTGTAAAGTGAATAACCACGGGTGAAAATAAAGGTAGCATTTTATTTGTCATTTTGCCTATATCTTTGTTATATCACACTCACCACATGCTTATCACTACAGAACATCACTAGAATAATATAGTTTTTTTATTTATTCGGTAATTAATTTATTAATTATTATATAGAATATGTTATTTTTATGTATTTATTGGTCTTTTTCAGATTAAAATCATTTTTAACCATGGATAAATGGCTGAACTTAAATAAGAAAGGTAATGATGCAGAAGACAATGCTACAAAGTCTCCTCAAGCAGGACTTATTATTGATAAACAGTCATCTAATCCACGAAAAAAGAAAACATAATGAGTCTTTTCTTCAATTTGGCTTTACATTTAAAAATCATAATGGTTATGAACAACCTTTTTGTTTGATCTGCAATGAATTATTAGCTACAGAGAGTATGAAACCATCAAAATTGAAAAGACATCTTGAATCAAAGCATACTTCATATGCCAATAAACCAAAAGAATATTTTGAAAGATTGTTAAAATCTTTAAATAAAGATATAAAATCTTTGGAAGAATTTATGACCGTTAATGAAAAATATTTACTCGTGTCATACGAAGTTTCATACTGTATTGCTAAAAATAAAAAGCTTTTACCATAAGAGAAGATCTTGTATTACCTGCTGCTATTAAAATGGTAGAAATACTACATGGAAGTAAATATAGCAATGATATTTGAAAAATTCCTTTGTCAAACAACACTGTTGCAAATAGAATTTCTGAAATAAACAATGATCAATTAGTGCAACTTATTACAAGAATTAAAGAAAGCCCAAAATTTTCAATTCAGTTGGACGAAACAACTGATATTACCAAATTAGCTCAGTTGTTAGTATATGTCAGATATGTTTATAAAGAAAACATTGAGGAAGAATTGTTATTTTGTCGTCGTTTGAAAGACTGTACTAGAGGGAAAGACATATATTGTAAAGTTGACAAATTTTTAAAAACTGAAGGGTTAGAATGGAAAAATTGCTGTGGAGTATGCACAGATGGCGCAAAAGCGATTACGGGCCAAAATATTGGTTTTAAATCAATTTTTAAAGCTGCTCATTATGATCATATAATTTTTACTCACTGTCTTATTCATTGGGAGGCCCTCGCAGCAAAAAAATTAGCACCAGAATTGAATGATGTGCTTCAATATGTTGTTAAGATTATAAATTTTATTAAAACCCATGCCCTTAACAGCCACTTATTTTCAAATCTCTGTAAGGATGCGGATTCCCACTACACAAATTTATTATTACATGCAGAAGTAAGATGGATATCAAGAGGTCAAAGTTTAAGAAGATTATTGTCATTAAAGGATGAAATCGAAATATTTTTAACCGAACAAAAATGTGATCTTGCTAGTTTTTTCAAAATGACCTATGGCTATCAAAGTTGTGTTATCTGTCAGATATTTTTGAGAAATTAAACGATCTTAACTTGTCTCTTCAAGGAAAAAATTGCAATATATTTACTTCAAATGATAAAATTGAAAGTTTTATTAAAAAGATAAAAATTTGGCAAAGTAGGGTAGAAAAGAATTCCTTCGAAATGTTTTCAAGTATTGACAATTTTATATCCGAGAAAAATAATTGTAAAACTTTTATCACAAAAATTATTATAGGTCACTTAAAAGCACTAGAAACACAGTTTCGTAAATATTTTATATCAAATATTGATTTTAAAAGTTTATCTTGGATTCAAAAACCATTTTTGATTGACTTGGGTGAGATTGATCACCTGCTATATAAAGCTCAAGAAGAATTTGCCGAGCTTTTGAGTGACTCAAACTTAAAACTAGATTTTTCAAAAAAGCCCTTAACTGAATTCTGGATAAGAACTAGAACCGAATTTCCCACAATCTCTAATATGGCGTTAAATGTTCTTCTACCATTCAACACTACATATTTATGTGAAATTACTTTTTCAGCTTTAACACATATCAAATCCCAATATCGTTCATCGCTAAATAATGTTGAAGAGATTTTACGTCCAGCTGTGTCAAACATTGCACCAAGATTTAGTTTGTTATGCAGTAAAAAGCAAGCACATCCGTCTCATTAAAAAACAATTTCCCTTTAATTTTTGTATACTTAAACCATTTAACGGCTGCGCTCGAATATATTCGAACAAACTAAGACAGCCAAAATGTCCAGGTTTGAATATATACCAGCGACGATATATTTTGCCCAATATTCTCTTCTATTTATGTTATTGCAAAAAATGCAGTTTTGATGAAAAATAGGGTATGTAATTTTTGTAACTATAATAAATACAATTTTACAACTTTTCGTGCAATTTTTAATTTTATATTTTCGTATGTTTTTAAACAAATTCTAAAACTNTGCAAATTTGTATATATCTTTATTTTATATTTTGGGGGGGGGGTCGCGAAAAAAATCACAATCATAAATGGGGTCGTGAATAAAAATAGTTTAAGAAGCCCTGTTCTACTGTATTTTAATATATTTAAATATATCAGTTTTTAATGAACAACAGAAACTGGGAGTTATAATTCTACAAACTTATCTTATAAATTAAATCTACTTATATTTATAAAAGTCAAAAAATGCTGACTTAAAATATAAGGAATGTTTTTATTCTGAATTAATCTAAAAACAATATTTAAATGTTTAAGACAAAATAAATGCATTTCTACATGCCTCAGCTAAATAAGTATTCATCTTTCCTTGCATGTATCTTATTGAATGATACAAAATGTTTATTTAGTACTTCTTTACATATATTTCAATAATTTTACAATAAAAACTATATTCAAAACTTTAAAGCTTTATCTGCCAATAATAAAATTCAATTCTATAAAATTTTTAATTTCTTGATAGGTGCTTCCTTTCAACAAATCAAACTTGTATGTTCAACCTATTGATACTAATAACAAATATTTAATTTTATAACTTCAAAAATTGATGTAATTTTAACTGATAAAATACATGATATTGTCAAAATAGCAACCTAATGTTTACAAAAAACTATTTAAATATTTAAAGTACTGTTTTGTGTATTAAAGGAAATTTTTTACTTTTTAGTCATAACACTATTTTACTACAAATTTTTACACTATGCCCTAAAATATATTTTCATATGAGTGAATTGGCTATATAAATTTGTTTTGTCATGCAACTTAAGCTCTTAGTATGTTTATATTTCATTAACATTAACAAATTATGGCATTTATAAATCCAATAATTAAACTAATACTAAAATTACTGACATGGTTTCACCAACAAATTTTAATAGTTTGCTAAATTCCGAGATTTGAGAACAAGATTATTAAATTATCTCAAAACTAAATGTACTTGGAGACTTTTCTTGTATTTATTGATTGGCTGTTTTGTAAATATGTGATATATATTTAGGCATTACACATGTTTCAGATAAACAAACATAATTAACAATCATACTTTTTGGCTCACAAAACTTGTATTTAATATAAAATTGTTATTTTATCCAAGAAAACAAATCTAGTGTCATTAAAAATAAAAAAAAGCAAACACATAATTGAAATTTAACAGAATTTAGATGTTTTTCTGAAATTAATGTTGGCTATATGAAATGGCTAAAAACTTTTGTAAGAATCTTAAATGGTAGGAAAAGAAAGACATTGCATTAAATAAGCAAACATTCATTCATATTTGTTTAATATGAAAATTAATGGTAAGTATAATAGAACTGTTTAAAACAAGTATATATCAAAAATGTTGGTGTAACGAGTCAAAGTCCGATCATTATCTTATGTTTGGGTGTTATTTTTAGTTATAGTTATTTTCATTATTTTCTTTTCAGGGACCTTTTTTTTAATTAAGGACAGAAACTCCTTAACCCTCAATGTGCTAAATTCAAAAAGAAAAAGGCAAAAGATACTAATTTGCATCAACAATTGATCCCGTGATGCAAATGAATGTAATTAGGGCAGTGTGGAGCTACATGGAGATACTAATTTGCATCAACAATTGATCCCGTGATGCAAATGAATGTAATTAGGGCAGTGTGGAGCTACATGGAGAACCAAATAAAAGATGTTACGTCCAACCAGCAGTATGGTGTAGCTCCCAACAGCAACAGTCATAGAAACATCTCGGATAAACAATCAGCATAGAAAACATATGATTTGAGTATTTTTTTTTTTTTTGTGGAGATTTGAATTGATTGTTGAATTGATTTGATCTGATTTAATTTGATTGTATATAATCAAAGAATTTCTTTACTTGTTTATTTTGTTGTTTGACTTTTGAATATTTGAAATATATATTAACTCTTTTTATAATTAATCATTGTTATTTATTTCACTACTGATCAATTTAATGAATATTTCTTGAGAATATGTACTTATAAGTGTTGTATTATTATATTTTTTTGTTCCCATAAAGTCCAGGCCTGGTACTTAAATTGAACTCTAACTCGTGTAACCCCACCTTTTGTGCTGCATGGTACATTACATTGTTAATAGTATTTTTATATTTGTCATTTTAACAGTTAAATTTATTGAGCCTAATAATATAATGTAAATATGGTGTAATTTTTTAGAAAACTCAATTTGTTCAAATTGCACATACAACTTACTTCAGAACAAACTAATGCATTTATTTCTTAAACATCCAATATAAAATAAAAAAACTTACCCATAAATATCTAAAACTCCTATAAATCTATTTATTTTATCACTTGATGCAAGTGATTTATTTATTTGAGATACAATCCAATTAAACAAACAAGCATAGATGTGCTTTGCTAAAGCATCTCTAGAAAATACAGCCTGTAATTAATCAGTAAATATTTAGAAACAATTATAAACAAAAATAGCTAAGTTAAATAAAATGCAATAGTTACTTATGTATAATATTTTTTTTTATTAAAATACTCATAGTCAATTATCACAATAAAAATTTTATGAATTACAACTATTTTTATATAGAAACTATAATAATTTGTTATATAGAATAAAATTAATTATTTATCCAAATTGCATTTATTTTACAATTTTAAAAATCAGTTTCATTATTAAATTTCTTAAAACTCTCTTAAATTTTTAATTATTTGTTAATAATAATTAATGGTCAAAATGATAAGACATAGGTTAGGTTAGATTTCAAACTTCAATCTGTAAGATAGAATTTTTAGTAATGTGTTCTTTTAAAACACAGTTGACCCTGTTTATTTCAAACATCTTTATCCCAAAAACATATTTATCTCAAAATTTATTTTTCCCTGCATTTTCAGTCTAAATTCAATGTATTTTCCATATTTAACTCATATAATTTTCTTCCAACACCTCTATATCTCAAATTATGGACTGAAGGGTCAATTACAAATTCAAAGCTCATCAACAGTTTGATAGCATAAATTGTAGTTGAGAAACATCTCTTGCAATACAGTACATAAGTTGCAAATAACACTGCTTTTCTCTGATTGACTACAAGTTTGGCTTGCATCTTATTCATTGAAGAAAGTTAGACATCAGAAACTATTGACAAGCTATTTTTCTGAAGGTATGTCAAAAATGTTTTATTTATACCTAATACAGGTATGTACTGTACTTGCTATTGTATTAATAAAACATTGTACCTCCAATCAAACCTGTTACATAAAATAGAATAAATAAGAGAAATAATAAAGTTGCCTTATACAGGGTGGCCACTAAATATTTTAAAATTAATTTACATATATTTAATATATAATATGCTTCAATTGCCACTGTCTATCCGAGGAAAATAAGAACAAAATTGGAGACAATAAAAATGCCTTTATTTAACAATATTTGCTGTTAGAAATTATCAAAATGCATTTCAGCTTTATTAACTTTAAGCCCTCTTCAGTTAATATGTTTATAGCAAAAGTCTTAGAGAAATAACATTTCTCTGGGTAATGTCAGAGAAGTGCAATATGAAAACTTTCATTTCATTAAAACAATTAATGAAAAAGAAGGTGCAGAAACTTTGGAAAGGAAAAAAGTTAAAGAAATGAAATAAAAATGAAGTTTAACTTAATAAACTTTCATTGTTTAATTATTGTCTTTTTATTCATCTTTCATCATTACAGTTTGAATTTAATAAAAATCTCCAGTAGCTGATATAATCAATAGCAATTTTATTACTTTACCACAGTGGCAATAGTTAGTGCTACTTGTGGAGCACAGTCAGTTTGCCATAACCATGTTCCATCTGGGTATTAATCTGTGATATCCCTTGATTAAAGTGGTTAATTAAGCCCTTGATCCTACTGTGTATATCAAAATATGGTAGCTATGTTAAGTAAAGACAGCCGGTAAAGCCACATAAATTAAAACTTCTGCTGCAAATATAGTGATTGTTGCAATTAATTTCATGCATTAATCAGAACCCGTGTTAGGCAAGGGATGCCTATATTCTAAAACTGAATCAACATAGACTTAATAAAAATTTGATTTTTCTTGTTGACTCTTAATTATTTTATAATGTATACAGAACTATCATTTACTGGATCCATAAAATCAACAAAGTATTCCTTGTTTATTAATAAGTAATTTAATGTTGCCAATAAGGAATATCACTCTAATGTTCCTTTCCAATTTTGATAATTCTTATATATGTTGTAAAACATCAAAAATTAGGAAGATGTATTGTTTTCTTTTATAAGTAAAAAGAAACATCTTTAGGAGGTGAAGTCAACCTCAAAGTTTGGAATATTAAGCAGTGATTTTAGTGCTTTTTTTATAAGAATACTAACCTGAATTAAATCAGATAAGTACTACTTATAATCTGTAATATTGTATTTTTTTTTTNTTTTTTTTTTTATCAGTTTCAAAAATTTCATCTAGGTCAATCACCTCCTTGTGAATTTTTCAAAACTTCCATAAAAATTTCATAATAAATTCAAATATTTTGAAAAAATACTTTTAATTTTAGAACAGATCAAAAATAAGTTTACAGATTTTTGCATTTTTGTCAAAAAACTTATTTCATTCCTTCACTCCATACTATATGGCATGCAGCCATATTAAAATGATTCTTTTCATAACTATTTTATTTTGTAAGAATCAAAATACCATTAGAATTTCATAGTAAAGTAATTTTAATCAGCATTTCTATCTAATTATGTTTGTTTTAAAAGTTTCTAATTATTATTCAAGAAATTCTTACAATAATTTAAATAAATAGAGAAAGCTTCAATCTTACCTGATCTGGAGTCATTGGTTTTGTTATTATTTCTCTCATACTTTGAATTTTTCTATTGCAGATCCAGAGACTGAGTTGATTATAATCAATTCCAAGAAGTTCTGTCATTACTAACAAATGAGGATCATTTTCCTATGTATATATGAAGTTTTTTTATAACAACATATATATAATTTTGTATATATGATATAATATCTATAGATATCATATTTTGTATAAGTTACATTTAAGTTTTAAATAATAATGATAAGTTAATTATTAAACTAAATATCAGAAGTCTTAAGAATTTTATTTTATTAAAAGTTTACAGAAAAATGAGAATCTGCTCAGATCATTTAATGTGGTTAAAAACAATAGGAATCAATAAAAACTAATATGTGATTTTAATGGCATTTTATTGGTTTCTACTCATATATAAAAACCAATTGAAACCAATAAAAATTTTCTATTGGTATTCCAAAAGAATATTTAAACAACAGAAACCAATAACAAAAAATTATACTGGTAAACATATTATTAGTCTATGAAAAACAATAGAATTTCATAGCTACCAAAATTTTTATTTTTATTATTATTATTTATCTTTGATTGTATATGTTTCAATGTTCCCACTCTAAACACTCATGTTCATAAAATTAAAAATTAATCTGAAACACTATTCTCAGACTGATGCTGTAATTTATCTTCTTCACAAAATTGTAGTCATTTACTTATACAGATGGAAAACCATCTTTACAGCAGCTTGGAATTATTAACATATAACTCCACATACTGTATTTTCATGTAACTGTTGTTTATCTAAATATCCTAAAATATGAAATTCCTTTCAATGTTGTTCTGACAGTCTATTTAGATTTCAAAGTTCAAACAAATTAAAAACATTCAAACAATGTTAATATTATCCATAAAAGAAAATGCTAATAATTTTAAAAGAGTCAGTTTACTACTTGATAAAACATTTTTCATGACTATATCATATCATACCTCATAACTGAACTTAATAATGACTAAGAAGAAGGCTTCCCAAATGTCAAATACTCATTGAATTGTATAGGATTTTTGGAGTAACAGAGCATTAGCAATCATTACCTCATAGAAGTGAGGTATAGATGGATATAGAGATTAAATCCATTTGTATATGGTTATTAATATAATATCTAGATTTACATCCATCTGTACTGCACTTTGATGCAGTAATGTTGCTAATTCTCTATTACTGCAAAAATCCTAAGCAATTCAACAAGTACAGTACATGACATTTGGGAAACCCCTCCTCTTAATAACTAAGCATAATTATTTCCAGTTTAATGATGACCTAAAATCAAAAAATATAAAAACACAACAATCTACATTTTTATATTTAATTTAATGATAAGATATAATATGAAATAAAAATAAATTCTTAATTAATCTTTAACATAAAATTATATTTGGGAAGTTGTAGTAATTAAGAATTGGGGGTCTCTTTGAAAATAAACAAAAATATATAGTAAATACAGAGGGTGATCGGTTAACAAACAGTTCGGCTAACGAACAAATCGAATAATGAACATCTTCGCAAAAGATTTTTATTTTCGGACAACAAACACATGTTTGGATAATAAACACATTCTTGGATAATGAACACCTCACAAAACAAACACAAGAAGAAGTGATGTAAAATAATGAATATCGGTTGTCTTCCCTTGTCTTCAGGCAACAATTCGGAACTTTTTGCAGTGCAGGAGATGTCGACATCGACGCTCAACCCAGTATATACTGATAGTATTCCTCCGAACTTCGAAAATCTCCCTTTTAATCCCAACTCATAATAGAACTTGAAACAGATCTGACGACAGAAGAATGCCAAGAACTCTTGAATGAATAACACCAAGAAACTCAGCAAGATGTTTTCTTCTCAAAAAGAGGATTAATGCCGATATCTGCTATTAAAGATCTTTTGAAGAAGTGGGAGGATGTCAGAACAATGGTCTTAGAATGGCATCCAAACCAGGTTGAAGTTAATAGACTTGGGGATCACTACAATGCTATTAATTACTTCTGAAAAATCTTAAAGAAGAGAGAAAAGCAACTGACATTAGACAGATTCTTTAACCCCTACAAATGGAAAAAACATGACTAATAAAAATGCATCATTGTGTACATATGTATTTTTATTATAACATATAAATAAATGTAGTAAGAAAGTGTATACAGTAGACCCCCTATAAAATTGGTTCATATAATATGGATTCATATAAAATGGCAAAAAAATTGTGATTGTATTCATATAAACACGCTAAAAGAGACTCATATAATACAGTAAAACATCATCACCGACTCATGTCGTGACAGGATTGGTCAAATCTAGACCAATAGCAGATATTGCACAAACCGTTGAGTTTAAACAAGCAGCGGACCTACTAAAAACCATTTATTATTTAATTAATTAATGGCCATATAAATTATATTTATATTAATGATGTCTCCAAAGTTCAGCAAATTTTTTGCAGAAAAATAACTTATCAGAAAACACGTGCCCGCTGATCGATGAACCACTCCACGATGAAAACAAGCTTAAGCAATGGTGTCGTTGAATGATGCACACTTGGTAAGTAATCCTACAATTTTTTGTTTATAGCATAGTTTATATGGATTATTCCCAAAAAATTATGTGTTTTGGAAATGTTGAGTCAAATTAGTCTGGAATTGATTAATTTTATGGAAGAAAACCTTTCAAACAGCCGTAGTCCCTAAACTGCACATGTGCCGGCTGTGATTGACTCATGTATTTAAGGACTCATACTACATGGAATTCATAAAACACAGAATGTATCTACCATGTTATTGGAGGGGTCTACTGTATTTTTTATTTTTTGGAGTCTCCAGAATGAATTAATAAAATTCCCATAAAAACCTATAGTAAATCGAAAATCAGTTAATGAACAATTCAGATAGCGAACAAAGTCTTGGAATGGATTATATTCGTTAACCGATCACCCACTGTAACAATATAAAAATTATAAAGTATTATTTTAATTGAACAAGTGTTTCAGCTACTATTATGGTGAAATATTACACTAATTCTTTAAAAATTGTCATCATTTATGCATTTAGCAATTATTATGGATGATATAGAGTTATTTATCAACAGAAAACAATGTTAATATATTAACTTTAAACAAAACTTTGAAACAGTCATAACAGTTATAATAAATAGTAAATCCTATATAGTAAATTTGTATTTTATAACAGCTGACGTTGAGAGATAAAATACTGCAAAATTCCAAAAAATAATTGTGTATACATATGTGCATGATTTTTTTTAAAGAAATTAACCATATCTTACAATAGAGAACTTTTTAGACTACCATCAGTCTCTAAATCATTTTAGAATTATATTGAGGAAGGTGAACACTCAGAATTTCCAAAATATTCCAGTGATAAAAATTAAGAGCAAAGCAGTTTTGAAAATTTTTAGAATTGCTTATTCTAAAACCAGGTCTTTTTTTATTTGTGTTTTTTTCTAATCTCAACATTATCCATAATAATCAAAACTTATTGGTATGTAATAATCAAAAAATTTAATTTATTTTTCTATTAGGGTTTCTCATTTCCCAGCTTTTGCTTGTCTCATGATTCTGGGAAAAAAGTGAACTGTTTCATGGGATCCTGGGATATAATTAATTATTTTTGAAATATAAAAAATATCTTGAAATCAAATGATATAACTATTTTTTATTTTTAAAAGTAATTTAATATGTTCTGCAACCTCCAAAATCATAATATTAATAATGCAGTGTAATATATATTAAAATTACCTTTGAATACATAGAAATTTTCACAAATAGAAAAAATTTATTAAAGTTTGCTGGAAACTGCTTACAAAAAAAATGCTTTGAATTTAGTTGAAAATTTAAAAAAAGAATTAACTTAGATCAAACTTCTAACTTAAAACATAATTTTCATTTTTTAAATAAAACTTAATACAAAATATTATTGTAAATTTTTAAAAAGCAAAGCCGGTCAATACTCCGATCACTCAATCTGGTTATTATTTTAATATGAAAAGTCCCACTACTGAAAATGCCCTTTCCAATTCAATTGATGTTAGTAGAATTGTCTTTAATGCATTTAAGAGAAGACAGATGTTACTTGATTTTTCACCTGTAGCCTGGAAGATTTCTAGTTCGTTTACGAGATTGTAGTACAGTAATACCCCGAACTTATGCGATAGGTGGGACCGAGTGATAACTGCGAAAGTCAAATTTGCGTAAGTCGAGGTATAATTTCGCAATTTGTGTAAAATCCAAGTCAGATGTATGTAAACTAATGAATGTTCTCGTTAATCTTATCTCGTCTTTTGATTCGTTTACGGTTACAAGAAATCACCACATAGTCTCTCTCAAGTCTCCGTAGATAAAACAAACAAAGAAATAAATAACACAAAATAAATTGTAGCTATGTGTCAATTTCGCGCAACACGTTGGAACATGTAAGCTGAACAATAGTGTGGGGGGAGTAATCAAGAGTTCCATGGTGCTCAAACAAAAGACGAATCGACGAGATTTAAAAATCGTGTAACTCCGGGTTTGCATAAGTCAGGGTAGTGTAAGTCGAGGTATTACTGTACTTCTTTTTCTCTCTAGTATTCTTCTAGTATTGATTTGTCTACCTCGGCTGCTTTAATAGCGGCATCAAGCTTATAGCTCGATAATTTGGCAATTTATTTGGCTTTAATAATCAGGTTTATGAAGAAAAACTTCATACTCATTTGTATCCTTGCCCAATTTGCACAACCTGGCATAATGCAGTTATTGAAGCTACTGGGCATGGTTAAAAAGTGACACAGCATAAGCACAATTATTCCTGATATTACAGGTACTGACAAGTAAAGAATTTTCAGAGTCCTGCCACAAATAAGCTATGTATTGATTATTGACCATTTGTGACATGCCATAACAAGGAAAAATTTTAAAAAGTAATAAGTAGGTTTAAAATTAATAAATACAAATGTATTCTGACAGTTTATAAGTTAATTATACTTTCTATTTGCAAAATTTCCTCAACCTTAACATAAAATAAGAAAAAAGTGAACTTTTAAGAAATTTGCAGGATTTCCCAGGATGAGAATAATTTCCTGGGTTAAAAAAACAGTTGGGATCCTGAGATCCCGTTTGAGAAACCCTATTTTCTATATTGAAATATTTCCTAAACATATGATAATATAAATTACAGATACCACTTGCAAGTAATAGTTACAATTCAAATCTTTATCACAATTTCAAAAGTAAGTCATAACAGGAATGATGGTTTTAACCAGAAATAAATTGAATATTTTCTAGTTCAGAATGTACAAAATGTACTAAATAATATTTTAAAAAGTAAAATTGATTCCAACAAATAAGTATATATTCATATTTTTCAAAAAATAAAACAATTTCTATAAAGAAATTAAAATATAAAATTTATCATATAAGTTAAATTTTTTGCAAAAAGTCTAAGATCATACAGAAGACAAACATGGTTGAATTTTAGACTACTGATTTTTGTAAACAGATTATTATCCAATTAAGAAAAATTTAAATAAAATTATTTAATAATGGTTAATTTTTTGAAATTAAATATATTAAAATGATTTATACTAATTTATAAAAATAATACTTGAATTCAATTAATGAAATTTAAAGAAAAAATAAGCTTAATAAATTTTTAGTACAGTAGAGCCTCGATTATCCGACTCAATTGGAGACTGGAGTTGGTCGGATAATTGAAAAGTCGGATAACCGAAAAGTATGAAAAAATTCAGTATTAGTGTAGTATATTATTATATCCCATGTAATTAGTATATTAATATATTAGTATATCGCTATTGACCTACTTCGCGTTGAATTTTCATCGATGTTAAGCCTAACAAAAAATTTAAAATAATAATCGTCGCTATTGTATCATTAAAAATTAGAAAATTAAGCCTCGTTTAAATACTGGTTTCGTTTCATGGTCGAATGAGTATTGCCAGCAAAAACACGTAAAAATAATATTAAAGTAACCAAGACATAGCCAAATATTGTAGCGCCACATCACTAGTGTACATTTGAAATTTGCCGACTAAGACGGTCGGTTAACCGAGGTGTCGGTTAATTGGGGGTCGGATAATCGAGGCTCTACTGTAATCTACAATTTCTGAACTGTTTAAAAAGCAAGTACAGTAGAGCGTCGATTATCCAAAAGTCAATCATCCGAAAGAATTCCAGTCGGCAAATTTAAATTTTTGCCAGTGCTGTGGCGATGCAATCTTTGACTGTGTGTTGGGCTACTCAAATATTTTACATTTTTGATACTATCTCATAAATTAACTTCTGAAGTATAATTTTTTATTGTTTTTATATTTTTCAATATATATATTTTGTTCATATAAAATAAAAAAATAATTTTTAACGATACAATAGTCTTTGTTAGGCTTAACATTGACGAAAATTCAGCGCGAAGCGACATGCAATGGAGAAAAATGTCAAGATGGTATAAATTAATATATTTTTCCGTACATAATCGGTTATCCGAAACACCGATCTTCTGAACAATCCCAGTCCCCAATTGATTCGGATAATTGACGCTCTACTGTATTTAATTATAGGTTTTAAAAATATAACAATCAAAAATCCTGATTTTTTTTTAAATTTTGATTTAAAAACAAACATTATATGAGGCTGCAGAAAATAAACAATTTTTTGGAATTTTACTATATTTGAAAAATGTCTCTAAAATTTATTAGTTTTTAATTTTATATTGATTTAGTTTATTTTATTTAATTACCACATGTATTGTTGATATTAATAATAAATTTTAATTATTAGAAGAATTATAAATAGCTTTAATTATCTTCCACAAATATAATATTTGTTTACTTGTATAGAATTCAAAATTATAAAATTATGTTTCTGTATTTTTAAGAAACATCTTTCTTGCACTTAAGACTAAAATCCAGTTGTCCTAACCTAAATATAACGCAATTAAAATTAAATAATTTTATATAATTCTATGTCTTACAGAAACTGAACAACATTCTGTATCATCTCCTGTTTCTCCACCTTCAACTATATTTACATTTCCTAAATGAAGAATTGATGCAAGAATCCTAAATATTGACATTTGCTGACTTTCTGAAAATCCTGAAATGAAAACACACATATTTCAAAGAATTTATTCATTTAATAAAATAAATATGAACTCATTCTATGATAATTTNTAATAATACAGTAGAGCCTCGATTATCCGACTCAATTGGAGACTGGAGTTGGTCGGATAATTGAAAAGTCGGATAACCGAAAAGTATGAAAAAATTCAGTATTAGTGTAGTATATTATTATATCCCATGTAATTAGTATATTAATATATTAGTATATCGCTATTGACCTACTTCGCGTTGAATTTTCATCGATGTTAAGCCTAACAAAAAATTTAAAATAATAATCGTCGCTATTGTATCATTAAAAATTAGAAAATTAAGCCTCGTTTAAATACTGGTTTCGTTTCATGGTCGAATGAGTATTGCCAGCAAAAACACGTAAAAATAATATTAAAGTAACCAAGACATAGCCAAATATTGTAGCGCCACATCACTAGTGTACATTTGAAATTTGCCGACTAAGACGGTCGGTTAACCGAGGTGTCGGTTAATTGGGGGTCGGATAATCGAGGCTCTACTGTAATCTACAATTTCTGAACTGTTTAAAAAGCAAGTACAGTAGAGCGTCGATTATCCAAAAGTCAATCATCCGAAAGAATTCCAGTCGGCAAATTTAAATTTTTGCCAGTGCTGTGGCGATGCAATCTTTGACTGTGTGTTGGGCTACTCAAATATTTTACATTTTTGATACTATCTCATAAATTAACTTCTGAAGTATAATTTTTTATTGTTTTTATATTTTTCAATATATATATTTTGTTCATATAAAATAAAAAAATAATTTTTAACGATACAATAGTCTTTGTTAGGCTTAACATTGACGAAAATTCAGCGCGAAGCGACATGCAATGGAGAAAAATGTCAAGATGGTATAAATTAATATATTTTTCCGTACATAATCGGTTATCCGAAACACCGATCTTCTGAACAATCCCAGTCCCCAATTGATTCGGATAATTGACGCTCTACTGTATTTAATTATAGGTTTTAAAAATATAACAATCAAAAATCCTGATTTTTTTTTAAATTTTGATTTAAAAACAAACATTATATGAGGCTGCAGAAAATAAACAATTTTTTGGAATTTTACTATATTTGAAAAATGTCTCTAAAATTTATTAGTTTTTAATTTTATATTGATTTAGTTTATTTTATTTAATTACCACATGTATTGTTGATATTAATAATAAATTTTAATTATTAGAAGAATTATAAATAGCTTTAATTATCTTCCACAAATATAATATTTGTTTACTTGTATAGAATTCAAAATTATAAAATTATGTTTCTGTATTTTTAAGAAACATCTTTCTTGCACTTAAGACTAAAATCCAGTTGTCCTAACCTAAATATAACGCAATTAAAATTAAATAATTTTATATAATTCTATGTCTTACAGAAACTGAACAACATTCTGTATCATCTCCTGTTTCTCCACCTTCAACTATATTTACATTTCCTAAATGAAGAATTGATGCAAGAATCCTAAATATTGACATTTGCTGACTTTCTGAAAATCCTGAAATGAAAACACACATATTTCAAAGAATTTATTCATTTAATAAAATAAATATGAACTCATTCTATGATAATTTTATTGAAACTATACTACTGTTAGATTCGAAATTATTTAACAATTTTATTCTACATATAATTATTGTAAATTTCAGAATTAATTCCCTATTAAAAATATATAAAATGCTAATCTTTGTACATAAGCATAATTTATTACAAAGTCCTTTGCTTTTTAAAAACTGACTGTTAAATTTTTAAAAAAAATTTATTTTATGTAGTTCAAAAATCTGAATACACTTATCAACAAACCACACTGTTGAAACTAGAAAATCCAGCAAGAAAACAATGTAATGAATAAACTCATGTTTTTGACCATTTTCATCAGTCATCAGATTTAATTACATTCTATTAAAGAATACAAAATAGTACAACATATAGATAATAATAATAATATCAAAATTTATTTTTATGAATTCAAAAATTGCTATCAATTTAATTTTTAAAATAAAGACAAAAACAGTATTCCAAAATATAGTGAACATATACTCATTTTAGTATAAATAATTTTGTAACATTTAATTAATATATTTATTTATTTTTATTGCTACACTTATACTAGAACATAGGAAACATGACTTCATATAGATTTCTTTGGACATATAAACAACAATTATTATTTATGATAATTTTTTGCAATATACACATACATATACATTTAATGTATTTTGAAAGGCTCTATAAAATTTCTTTTATATAAATATATATGATGTAAGGCAAACATGACTTATTGTATGTTTTATATAATATTATGTAACTGTCATTTTCAAAAACTGTTTTTGGATTTCCTGATTCAAGTTAAAGTTACTTTCTAATAGTCTAACTTTCAAAATAATGTAAATTTCAACTTTTATGTTTAAATTAAAAACTTTGTAAACCAATCATTGTTTATGTAACAATATTTTATATAAAGAAACTTTTTAATTACCTAATAATCTAAGAGCATTTTTTGTTTCTTGAAAATTTTTAGCATCATCAATCCCAGAAATAATTGGAGAATCTCCTTGGTTTGTATAATGAAAAGTTCTTTGATCACCTAAAATATACATAAGAAAATTTATTAAATACTTATAAATATAATATTTTTAATTGCTTATAATTTTCAAGTAATGATGATAAATTCTATGAATTAAGAATTTATAAACAAGTATATAAATATAAAAACAATGATTAAAAATAAATAAAAATCAAATGGCCATTATTACATGCATATAGGTTAGCTATGTAATAACTTCCACATAGGAAAATATTTCACATCATGACAATTGCAACTGTTCTCTTATACTGCATTTGTACATTTAATAATTTTTGTTTTTGTAATATTAGAATTGTTGATGTATTTGATGCTATACATTTCACCCGAAAGTACTACATCACCATCCTGTATTGCAAATGTATTGACAGCAGGCCCTGTTAAATTAAGATTAAGATCCTTTTACTTAGAACAAGACTCAACAAGCCCAACAAGATTCTAAAAAGTCCATCGGTTAAAGTTTGACAATAAGGAATTAATCAGATCACATATCGTAACAGCCAGTCAAAGCAAAATACATAACTTCAACTATTTTGATTTTCAGATTATTCCAGTAATTTAAATAAAAACAATTTATTATGGTAAGTAAATTTGTAAAAATAGTAATTTTTAGCGACTCAAAAAATTCCAGTAACAGGTTGCTTAACTTTCCTGGTAACATTTAGAATTTTGGTGGTGCCATCTGTTATATTTTATTGAAAAACTTTATATTTTTAATTATTATAAAACTGCAAAAAGCTTAATTTTGAGGGTAGGAATGGGTTTTATAAAAAATGTAAATGCTAATAATGAGTAAAATCATCATTAAATCTGACCCTACTTGAGATGACACATGAGCACCCATTATCTTCCCACCTTGTTGACCTTAAACCATCAAACTTTAATAGTATGAATCTTTCTAATACACAAACCTTCCTGCAAAGTTTCAGAAATTTTCAAGAGCACGGGAGTTATCTTCAGAGAGAGGGTAAACAGAATCATGTCACACACAAACACACACATTAACATCCACCATACATAGAGAAAAAAACTCTAAATGTTTTTGCATTTCTTGACATTTCAAGGTCCAAAAATGAAAAAATCTTAAAGAATCATTTTTTGACTAATTGCCATACTTTCCCTCTGTTATATATAACAGAGCAAGGAAAGTAAAACAAAAAGCTCTTTGCTGAAAAGTAAGTCTATCCTGAGTCTTGTATTTATATTGTGTTGCTGAATGCTAAATTTGCCAAAAATTCACTTCATAGTTTGAACAATACTTCAAAGTCTGAACTGTGTGTGCAGTGAAAAAACACACACTGAATGTGCCCAAATCATATCTTGGTAATGCATTACACACCTATTTGCAGTGCATTTATTACTTTATTTTTTGTGTGTTCAATTATATATACTGTGTTGTTATTCTTCAATTTTTAACAATTTCTTTCTGCTATTTTTCTTTGATGAGAGCTTTTGGGCACCTCCTACATTTTGTATCCTTTAACTCAAAATTCCCTAAACAGAAATTTATAAAACCACATCTGCCTGAAGTTTAGGAGCATCTTCCCCATACATATTACAAATTCTTTTACTGTTTATACAGCATTATATCCTTTCCAAAATTCAAAGCATGATATGTCTAATATGCTTTTTATCTGAAAACATTTCAACTCAATTTTATTCAAACAAAATATGATGGAAAAAGTTTAAAATACATTTCTAAACGTAAATACAATCTCACATTAGTAATAATGTGTTAAATTAATCAATTGTTATAATTAAATCACCCATCTATGTTAAGTAATGAAAGCTATTAAAAATACATAAAAACTTTCTGTTCAGCATAATACAACTTTTACTTATTAAACATGGCTTTCAAAAACTGTGTGGAAGCAACAAAGCCTAAGAGGAAGATTGTAATATCAACAATTGAGATGAAAAAGGTACCATACTTATCACAAAACACACAAGTGGTACACAAATAGTGGATCTACCATGTTTAAGATGTTATTACAGTAGTACCTCAAGATACAAAATTAATCCATTCCGAAACTGAGATCGTATCATGAAAATGTCGTAAGGTAAATCATTTTTCCCCATATGATTATATGTAAAACCAAATGATCCATTCCAACATGAAAAACACACTCAAATTAAAGCTAAATAGTACATTAAAAAAAAAAATAACTTTAGTAAGGAAAACACTGAAAAATGCATTTTGTAGTTGTAAATGTTTAAATAATAGTGTTGCAACGAATAGTATATTCGGCCTCAGGCTGAATACCGAATATTTGGCTTGATTAACGCACATACAAAAATTGGCGCGCAAACCGTATTATGGCAAAGACCCTGCTCTCTATTGGCCCACTGTCACTACGCTTCGCCAATCGCGTTAATTCTTGACAGTTCAGACAAGAGCATCATGGCATTATGTGATAAATGATAAGTGATGATATCAAATGTGGATAACAATGAAATGACCTACACATGTAAATAACGGAAAAAGAACGGAAGAAGAACCACAAAGTGAAAATGTGAAAATAAATAAGAAATTGAGTTGATAACATAATCGAACAAGTCGAGGCAGCTTATTGGCGCGAAATTTGTGGCTGTCAATGCCAAACAATTGTTGTCATAGACTTCGAAAAGCTAAATGCTTGTAATAAAAGTCACTTAGCATGCACGGGCAAAAGCCTGAGGCCATTCGAGCTACCAAGCTGTTTTGAATCTGTGAAATCATAACTGTGACTTATAACGACATCCTATCTGTCTCTTTTCTCCGTTATCACCTGGCTATGAGTCACGTAATTGTAAAATGGGAAAACTATGACGGAAAAGTGACAAATCAAAAGTATCGTGAAGGCGTATTATGATGTATGCATAGGCATACGTGGACTAAAGCGATAGAGGAAAGAGAAAGGGAAGAGCAAAGACGAGCTCTTAAAAAGAAGGATAAGCAGGATCAGACCCTCAGATGTGTGATGATTCTTGAACGAATAGATGTGTATGTGTGCTGATCTTTGTAATTATAAATTGTGAATACAAATGACTAATATTATGTTCTTTTTTATTTTGTGTATGTTATAAGTTATAAATAAATATAAACAAACAACACTAACCTGATAACATTAAATCTAAATAACAAAATGATTAATTTACTGTGTTTTTGTTATTTATTACTGTCCTGTTTTTAGGTATTCGGTATTCGGCCGAATAGTGATTAAATATTCGGTATTCAGCTAATAAATCACTAATAAATAACCACAATAGAATAATAATTGATTTAAAAAAATTAGTTTTATTTGCACTTTACCTTTGAGGATAGACAACAGAGGTGTAAACTAGTGGTGGAGGAGAGGGAGAAGGAAAATGATACTAAAACTTAAATTACATAACATAATGTAACTTATTAAACTTAAAAGTTAAAAAAACTTAACACTAATTTTTTAACTTTTTTGTTTTATATATTTTTTTAAATTTTTTATTCACTGCTTTTTGCTTTCTTTCCTTCACTTCCACCAGCACTTTCACTGGATAGAGGTTGCTTGGTAAAATATCTATCCAAAGAGGCTTTGCGTACTTTTTAAAATGTTTCTAAAATGACTTAGGCAAATGTCATTACTCTGATTAGCAATACGGCCAGTGTGAACCTTTTCGGGATGTTTCTTTTCAATAAAATCAGTCACTTTCTGATAATACTTCAAGATTTCCTTTATCGAGAGAGATCCTTCCATGATGAAGCAAACACATAGACTGAGACCAATGAACAGAAGTGAATAAAAAATGGTGCAGCAAACTAATGTAACATCATATGGTGAGTTTTTGTTCATACTGTGGAGCAAAAATATGTTCGAATTTCATATCGTATCCTGAAAATTTCATATGCTGGAGGGTTCGTATCCTGAGGTACTACTGTATACAATATTTATGTATTTTATTGTTTTCATGTTTTTATTTGTTATTAGAGTATTTAATTTAATTGTGTTATATATGCCTTAAATTATGTGCATTTGCTATTTTCAGTATATCAAAATGGGTTTGTTTAGTGTCTAGGAATAGATTAATTCATCACTTTCCATTATTTCTAATGGGAAAAAAAATGATTCAGACTTTGAACAATTCAGAGTTCAAACAGCCTCCTGAAATGAATTAAATTTGAAGTATGAAACACCATTGTATTTGATTCTGCTGTTCATAAACTAAAATAATCAAATTTTAAATGAAACCATTTCTAGTTTGCTTTATTCTTGTTAATTTTTATTGGTCCATCAAGCAAGCAGTTTTTGTTTTGTGATAATCATGATGCCAACTTTTGCAATCTCTCATAGTTAATAAAATAAATCAATTAAAATTTTAATTGAGTAATTATTAAAATTTCAAAATTAAGAATAATATTTGTGAACTTACTTAATTGAAGATCAGCTAATTCTTCTAAGTCTGCAGAAGCACATAACTGATAAAAAACATGATAATTACGCTCTTCTGATGCTTGAAAAACTACACGAGATTTTTCTAGTAAGTATGTTCTCATATTAGCTCCAATAATATGATACTTTTGATTAAAATCTATTTCAATATATTTTCCAAATCTTGAACTATTATCATTTCTTGTTGTTTTAGCATTTCCAATAGCCTGCACAAAAAATAAGATTTGTTAAAAATTGATATTTGCATTTAAATATTTTTCTTTATAACATAGGATAATACTTTTCCAGCAACTAAATTTGATCAAAACAAACGTTTTTGGCCAGTTTGATAAGGCTTCATAAAGCCAGGATAAAAACATTTGTTTTAATTAAATTTAGTTGATGAAAAAATAAGGTATTCTTAGCGTCTTTATATACTGGTGAAGTTTCAGCTTCAATTATTTTTGATACTTTTATTTCTGTATCTGTGAGTATAAAAATGTATCTATATAACAGAGCCCAAGTTATATTTTTTGAAATTAAAACTATGTTTCATTTATTAACAAAATTCAAAAAATAAAGGAAATATAATAGAGCACCTTAACCTTGACCTGGCATAGCATCACCATATACCAGTATTAATTAACCAAGTAGAATGCATTCCACCAAACTGTAATATAATATTTTTATCAAAAGTTAAATAAAATAAAAAACAGAGAGCTAGTCTATTAAATCATTTTTCAAAATACTGACCACAAGAGAGTGAAAAATATCTTACCTATGTCAATGAATTTACAGGGTTCAAAACTAAGTTCATTAGTGATTCATTGAATTAAGAAGTATTACCTACTTGTTGTAATATTTCCACCAATCTGATAGATTTGTTTAGATTTTCAATGTGTTCTGGATAACGTATGTTAAGAATCAAGATCTAACTACATTGGAATTAGGAATAAAAAAAACCTATTGTACACACAGACACATTTCTCCTGACATTTATCAGCCAGATGGTCAGAAAAATCAACTAGGAAGGACACCTGGTAAAAAAGGGTTGGGGAAAATACTGGAACATTCTCAGTGCTTTGTAGAATTTTCCATTTGTGGCACATAATGTCAGTACTCAACAAACTTTCAGATTTTGTAGGTGTTTTTGGCATTTGGAATTTCAGAGAAAGGACTCTCAACCTGTATATATTTAATTCTACTCTAGGGAGTTCAATGAAAAGGTACAGTTTGAGAAACACTGAGATAATACGTACCCTAGGAGAAGTCATAAACTTCTCCTAGGGTTTTAGAAAAACTGCAAGTCAGACTTGCAGTTTTTCTAACTTAACTCAAAATAATTGCTTCAGTAGATCACTCAAAAAACTATTGATACATACAACCTTGTACAGCAACAAAAATGTTTAATAAACTAACATTGTTGGTGATATTTAATGACCACCATGTTTGCTACTAAAAAAAAAATTAACAAAAGCTAAACAGAAAATTTTCCATTAGCTTTTGTAAATAATTCAATTTTTTGAATAGCAAGCCTGATGAAGGTTATTAGATATGACTGAAAATGTTAGTAATAATTATTAAACATTTTTGCTGCTGTACAAAGTTGTATGCAGTTGATTGAGTTTTTCCAACTTTTTAAAGTGGTATTTAAAAATAAATGTAACATTGATTTATTAGTAAGTATGTTTTATGTGGAAGTTACATTCAGGAGAGCATGCATAAACAAGATTTCACACAACATACAAAGATACTAAAATTCCAAAAGATTCATCCTTGTATAGATAATTATCAACTTAAACAATTAGTTGATTTATGTCAAATAAAAAGAACTAATTTATGGACATAAAGAAGGTAAAGTTAAATAAAATTTGCAACAAAACTTATATGTACTGTATGAAAAAATTTCTTTAAAAAGTCAACTGAAAGCTACTTGTGTAATATAGATATTTATATTTCTACTATACACTGCTACTATACACTACTACTAATAGAAGTGTCATTCACTGACTTTTTCATTGCTAGATTTAGAGATTAACTTCAGGTAATTATTGCATTAATTTTAATTTTTACATATGCAATAAGACTTATTTGTTTTTCTTTTGCATTATAAGATGATAATATTTTCAAATCATACGAAATAAATCACGATCACACTATATGTCTTTTTTTTATTGTAACATTCCAACAATTAATACACACATTTAATTCTTTTACTGACAGTTACAGATAATTTTTAAACTTAAAATTACATGCTAACTTTGTTAATCAGAAATTAGATTCTTTTTGTTATGACAATCAAAATTACCATTAAAACAAAAATTGAAAAATGACAAATGGTATCATTTAAGTTACAATTATTTATGTTCATTTTGTACTTTGTTTTTATTTTTAGACTAGTTTATTAGCATCTGTCCTCAAATTCAGGGTGTTAAGATTGTAAGCAGTTTGGATAAAGTTATAATATTTCAGAAAAAATTTCATCTATATCATATTATTAGGTGTTTTTTAAATTTATGAACAATTATTTATGTTCATTTTGTTAAAAATGAACATAAATAATTGTAGTAATAAATAAATTAAATGATACCATTCATCATTTTTTCAATTTTTATGTTAATGGTAATTTTGATTGTCATAACAAAAAACCTACTTTCTGGTGAATTTTCTTCCAGTTCATTAATATTTTAATAAATTTGAAAAACTTAAAGGACTAATTTAATCAATTAATACTTTTGTAACAGATTTTTAAATTTAATATTCATTAATAAATCCTGCGAATTACCTTTCCCCCCTTTATGAAGTTATATAGTTTAACAGTTGTGGATTAATAACAAGATAAAGTTTTTTTTATTTAATTAAACATTTTATTTAAAACTTAATAGTTTGTCAATTCTAATAAGATACCTTTTTCTAATTAATAATTTTAATTAATTAAAAATTTTAGTTTTCAAAATTAATTTTTTAAATTGAAAATTATAATTCAATAGAAAAACATTAAATTAAAAAGTAAAAAAATGAAATTATAGAAAATATTTTCTGATCATTTTTTAAATTTTGCTCATTTATGATTTTTTCACATACACAAAATCTATTAAATCAGTATCCAGAGGTATGAGTTACCCTAAACACTTGATATTCAGCACTATATACAAGTTTTGAAGAATACTGTTATGCACTACATTCTTTAAACTTAAAAAAAATTTTAATAGTTTTTATTCTATTCATTAAAATTGCTAATTATTATATATAATCTGATATTTATCAATTTTTTTTTGTTTGTACTTACTCTATTTAGTATATGATCATAATTGCAAATTATAATACAAACAAAATTTTACCTCCATTATGGGATTTGATGCAAGAACTTTCTTTTCTATTTGTGTTTCTGTTGAAGAACCGCCAACTGTTGCAAAATATCTCATAGCATACTTCGCGGAAACTGTTTTTCCAGCTCCAGATTCTCCACTAACAATAATAGATTGATTTTCATTTTCCCTAAAAACAAAATATCAGAAATAAATTACGACTTCAAAAAAACTTGCTTACAACAGTGCATGTTGTGTTTTTTATATCTTTAGAAGTGAGGAAGTTTATAAAAGATATTTTTAGCTCTTAAATCATCTTCAGATACAAAACAAATACAATTCAATTTCACAAAACACAATATATTAATATTCAAAATGAAGTTTTCTAAATTAAACCCAAAATCTTAAAACTCTTTAGAAATTAATAAATAAAATAGTAGAGTATAACAATATGAAAATACAAACATAAAACAAAACAAAAATAAACATAACTGAAAAAAGAATCATTTGTGTTAAAACTTAAATATGATTACAAGCCTTACACTTTTGTGTTATGTATCAAACATTTCCAGACATGCAAATATTTTGCCAATTATTCCTGATAAAGTACTAGAATTGTATTATAAGTAATGGTCAATAATGAACTACAAAACACAAATTAAACCACATTTCAGATTTCTTACTGGAATTTGGTTTAATTTGTGTTTTTATTGTGAATAAATAATTTGCAACAAAAGAATGTATATTTGAGTAGTAATAACTGTTATCTTACTCTGCAATATGAATGATATCACTCATATTATCCATGTGGAAACAACATGAGAAAATGACGGGCAAAGCATGTTATTTTAACAGTGTACAGTGACTGCATTTCTCATTAAGGAGAAAATTTCCGCAGTTAATATTCATCAAAGACTGAAAGATGCATATTTGGGTAGTATGTGTGTTTGCAGTGTTAGATAATCAGACAATGGAGTTAAACATATTATAAAACAGCATCACTGATCAGTCCCACATTTTTAATCTGTAGACTGCTTCTAATAAAAATCAACAAAATTGATGCTTTCATAAGAGAAAAATCAACATTTTCTCTTGATGTGCTACATTCATAGAAATTGTAGATGATTTTAGAATTGATCACTGTGTGTGAAAAAGATGATGAAGAATTGGGGATATCACAAAGTTTGTTCCTATTGGGTTCTTTGGTTACTATTGCATGAAAAGAAATTAAAAACTCAGTCCCATACAGTCTGACATGGTCTTATCAGAAAATCATTTGTAATCCAATTTCATTAAAAAGCAGCTGGAAAATCAGCATTACAAAACTTATACAAGGGTCATTAAATTTGCTCTTTGTTTTATGCAAATGTCGAAACAATTTCTAATGCAAGGGAATATATAGGGGTGGCCATAATTAAAGTAGAGAGTTTTGAGCTTGAGTATATAAAATCAACCAATTTCAGCCAAACTCAACCAATATTGGTATACAAGGTCTGTTCAAAAAGTATCGGACCTTTTTTTTTTCGCGTAAACCAATGATGCGCGAGAGGCCTCCTTCGGTGGAGTTGTGGAGGGGACAGTCATGCACAGCCCTGAATTTTTTCCCGCCTGCAGGAAGCGTCAGTCGTTGGCAATCGGCCTATGAGTGAGGTCATGTAGTGCGCTCTCGTCAGATTCCACTAAGCTGGAAAATGACTGAACAACGTGAGCAGCGATATTACATCAAATTTTGCCAAAAACCTGGCGATACCCGAGCGTAAACCATTCGCAAAATTCAGCAGGCTTTCGGGGACGATCCTCGAGGCCAAAAAAAGCGCGGCAGGTCCGCAGCAATATCAAAGGTCATGTTGACAGTTTTTTCGACTCTCGTGGGGTGGTGTGTCGTGAGTACGCACCACAAGGCCAAACCATCGCAAAGGAGTACTACCAGGAGGTCCTTCGTCGTCTTTCCGATACAGTGCGACGCAAACGACCGGATCTGTGGTCGATCAAAACTTGGCAGCTCCATCGTGATAACGCATCCGCCCATTCTGCGCATCTGATTCGGGCTTTCGTCGCCAAACATAACACTCCTGTGGTTCGCCACACTCCGTACTCTCCCCATATGGCTCCGTGTGACCTTTGGCTATTTCCCAAGCTGAATATGCCGCTAAAAGGAACCCGAATTTAGTCGAGAGAAGACATCGTGCAAAATCCGACGGAGCGGCTGATGGCCATTCCAAAAGATGCGTTCCAGCAGTGTTTCCAGCAATGGCAGGAACGCTGGGAGAAGTGTATACATTACCAAGGAGACTACTTTGAAAGGGATTGGGGTTTTGTACCTCAAAGTAAATAAATTTATTTTTACCGACCAAAGGTCCGATACTTTTTGAACAGACCTTGTATGTACTGTTTAGATACAATGGAATTTTGATTTCTGTAATAAAAGTTTTCACTTTAGATTTTTGCCACCAAGGAGAAAATGGCAATGTATGTGGAGTAAATAAGATAGTAAAGAAAACAAAAGGTAACAATTGATAATAGTTTTTATTATGATTCAATTACAAATATGGTTCAATGTGTTGGCCTTGCATGTTCCAAAAACTGAATTCTGTAAATTGCACCTAAGAAGCTCGGTTTATCTAGAACACATCAATAGTTTAGCAACTTTGAAGGTGGTCAATCATGGATGATTGGTTAATGAACTTAATTCATTCCAAGATTGTGTTCACTATCCAAATTGTTCGTTAACCGATTATTGATTTATCATAGATTTATATGGGAATTTGATTAATTCATTCTGGAAATCCCAAAAAATAAATAAAAATTTATATACTTTCTTACTAAGTTCATTTATATGTAATAATAAACACACGTATTTACACAGTCTTGCATTTTTATTAGTCATGTTTTTTCCACTTGTTGCACATTGAAGAATCTGTACAATGTCAATTGCTTTACTCTCTTCTTCACGATTTTTCATAAGTAATTAATAGCATTGTCATTGTAGAGATCTCCAAGCCTATTAACATCAACCTGGTTTGAATGCTATTCTAAGACACTGTTGACATCCTCCCACTTCTTCAAAAGATGTTTCATTGGTCCTCTTTCATCTTTCTCAGAAGAAAACATATCTTACTGAGTTTCTTCTGAGATCAGTTTCAGGTTCCATTATGAGCACTTAAATGTTCTTTGTTTCTCAGAAGTGATTTTCATTACTCCTTTAGCTGCTTGAGTGTTCTTGATTATATCCTTCTTAGTCAAGAGTGTGCCTATTGTAGACAAGTTCAAGCCACACTGCCTAGCAACATCAGACATCATTTGCCCACTCTCTATCTTGCCTATTATCTCTTCCTTGGTTTCTATGATGAGCACAGTTCTTGACACTCCACTCTTTTTAGACTCCAGACTTCAGTTCTGACATTTTATATATTTTATATTTTAATCTAAAATATTAGCAAATGTTACATGTATTACTTCTGGTAATCACATGTTTATTACAAAAATTTATATTCTTGTTCAATATGAAGTGAATAAAGTATATTAGTTCATTATATTAGTTGATAGCAGAATAAAGTTTTCATTTCAAACAAATGTTTGATATAATGTGCAATAATTTCACAACGAATAAACGTACATGCATAAGTGTTATATAGAGTTGTACAAAACAATATTCTATGTCTTTCTGGCTCAGTATCAGCAAAAATCTAGGTAACTAAACAATATTAATTTTGACAAAAAGTTACAAATTATCAAGTTTAAATGTCAGTTCTGATATATTATTTTTTTCCTTATAAATTTTTCTAATAAAATATATTGAAAAATATATTTAAAACTAACGATATTAATAAATGTAAGTGATTTTTTTCATATGAATATAATGATAATTTGATTTTTGATAAATTTTTAAAATAATATCGCCTGACTGACCTATATTGCCTTAGGACAGATTACAAAATAAATGTAAACAAGATGGCAATGGTGAAGGGTTAAATTCCAAAAACCTTTATATTTACTAGTTTTGAAAAAAGTAGACAACTTTATAGAATCTTTCTTATCAATAATATCTTTACTCTGGGCAGGGTGCCCCATTGATTTGTATTGAGTTTTGCGAGCCTTTTGACTATTTTTTTTTTTGGCAATTTTTGCTGCATTTTTGTCTTGCTCTTTTTAAACGCTTATTATGATCCAAGGGGAAGCATAGTCTTACCTACATGAGGTCCTGCCAGCAAGTAGCTTGATCACAAACAGTCCTTTTCAGGACTATGTCAGCCAAAAGGCCCACATCTTGGACTCTGATGACGAGGTGTTGTTGCACGGAGAGATGGGAAATCCTACTGGAGAAAGATCAGGTGAAAGTGGTGAAAAGAATCTGTGAAGAAATAATAGAATATATGACCACACACAGTGGTTGCAGAATAGACATGGAAAAACACATGACTTTTGTCTGTGCACAGATGGAGGGCGCTAAACGGCTTAGTCAATGGATGCAGGAAAATTTTGCTCTGTATTCGAATTGAGTTTTTGCTGAAATTTTTACTTTAAGCTCTAAGTGTTATATATTTCTGGATAGCATTTTCCGTGTGGATTAAGAATCTGTTAAGTTTTTCAACATACGACAATTTTTCGCAAAGTTATTAGTTTTTGAAAACTGAATACTTTTAAAATTTTCAACATTCTTCTACAACGACTGTCGCCATAGTAATGGTCCATAGAAGATTCCAGAATTTTTACCGGAAGTCGTATGTTCTTTCTTCATATTATTTTTTTTTTTGAAAATTATTAATTTTAGAAGTTATTATACTCAGTGATGGCTATTGAAGAATTTCTGGAGGAATCTGAGGAAGCCATTCAGGATTTAAAGAGATATTTCCGTAATAACCCAAAAGGGCAATTGGGTACCGAGGAACATATTAGATTTATTACAGATAAATTTATTACCTTAGTGAAGAGTGCCGAAGAGGTAATTAGGAAAAATTCCATATCAGATTTCCTGCTTCAGAAATTTGATTTGTTGGCAACGAAAGAGGATGTCAAACAGCTGCTTGTTGCTCAGAGTGACAAAAATTTAGATGCTATTCAGGAAGTGAAACAGACTATTTGTGACTTAGAAAAACCTCCACTTTTAGGGGTGGAAGGTTCTCAAGGGACTACTGCTCTGTCATATAGAGATATTTTATAATGCGATCTTAATTCTTTGAAGAATACACA